CTCATACAAGGAGAAGGTCGCTTAATAACATTTTACATCATAGCTTCTCACCTAAGATATTACACAAATGTTTTTTATTTAAAACCTTTAGTCTACAATAGATTATACAATCTATATAGATAGAGAGAAATATAATTGTAAGCACAAGAAGAACAGAAAACAGATTTTGAAAATAGAAAGTAAGTGCATAATTGTTCTTTAAAAGAGTTGTTTAATAATTTTTTTCCCTTAAAAATATTTCTTGTAGAAAAAAGAAATAAATAAACGAAGAGAGTTGAAAAGAGAGCTTTGAATAATTTGAATTTTTGAGCAATGAACTCTTACTCTTACCAACATTTTCTTTTGAAAGAGGAAAGAGTTTTTATATGAAAAAGATGATAATCCCCGTTAGAAATTAATGTTGGGATTATTGCTTTAATGAGCAATGAGAATTCTGACATTTTTTAAAATAAAGAGACAATGCATGGGCTGTCAAACCACTTTTAATACTCACACATGCAAGGCTCTGAGGTGAAAGTTTTAGTTTAAAAGCTATGTTACTTTTATAGCAGAAACAGGTAGCTATATCAGAAATAGACAGCTGTGTCAGATACAAAAATTGCTTTTTGCAGAAATTCATTTAATAGCTACGAAGAAGATTTACTCCAAAAATCTTTTAAGTGGAAAAACATGAAAAGCAAATATTTTGGCTATTTTCTCTTAATATTTTTATCAAAAGCACTTCAAAATAATTTTAAGCGATTATAGATTTTGTGCTTATAATATAATTTTCTCTCTATCCTACAATAATTTCCTAAGACTTAATCTAATACTAACCAATAAAAATATCTTAATTAATTTTTATGATCTTCAAATAAAAATCTTGGATTATAGAAGCTTCATATCTTCGGAAATTCTCAACAATAATTTTTGCATAAAATAACTTTAATACAACAAGAATATTAAATTTATTTGATTTGCATAATCATTAAAATTTTAGGATAAAATTGACCTTGAGCCAACAAAATAATATTCATTGAGTGTCTTCTTTAATTGTTTTCCCATAGATATTGATATTATTGATTAAGACTATTTGTGCTTATTGGTTACACAAATAAATATAGTACGCTAATGCTAGTCTTTTACCGTGACAATTAAAATATGTATAAAATCAATCACTTGTAAAGTTAATTGCGAAATGCATAAATATACACATGTATTTTACGAAAAAAAAATTCTGACACTTCAAACTTTGCGAGTGATTTATTATGCTTTTGGAGTTATGAATTTTGCTAACATTGTATCTTTCTATACTAGCAATAACATTTTTTGGATATTTTTAACATTTATTTGCAAGATATTCACTTATTGTATAGTTAATATAATATTTGGAACAATAATTTTTACATTTTTCAACTATCTAATAAGTATTTAATTGATTAAATTTTAAAAATTTTGAGTATTTCTTAGAATAATTTTTATAAATTAAAGTATTTAATTAATATAATTTATAAATTAAAATATTTAATTAATAGGTAAAAGTAAAAATGGAAGTTGTCATAAAAATTTTTACATATAGGTAAATCAATGCATGAGCCAAAGTGGATTGCATGGAATCATTTCCAACACATGCATTGGTAGTATTTTTATGCATAGGTAAATTACAACTTTAACCTTTTTTTTTTTTTTTTTTTTTTTCGCTCATGCCAAGCCCAAAACGCGGTCTCTACCATGTTCAAGATTGCCACCCTTTATGTTATAGGGACTTCACCTTGTGGCGTGCCGATGTGGGATTCGCCTTAAAGGTGTTGGTGCCCAAACCTGGAGTCATACAACCTTCTATAGCTAAATTAAGTATAAAAAAATTTATATCAAAAAGAAATTTAATTTTTGATGACATATCAGAACATGCAAACTAGAGTAATTATTTGCTTATTAAATAATATAATAATTAATAATAATAAATATTGTTATGAAGATTTGGGTTCTTAATTTTAATAAACATAGTCATTTTGTTGGCAATTGATCACTATAATAGATTCAAAGAACCCAATTATGGATCAAAGAGAAGGTGTCAGTGGTGGGAATGAAAATATGGTGATTAGAGCAAGAATTTTCTTCTGAACCAATCCCTATTTTCAATGAGAACTATATATATATCCTACCAACTGATGCTTGCCACTCCTAATTCCAAGAAATTCATTATTCCATAGAATTAAAGAAACAAGAGATTAAATAAATAATGTAGAAAAAAATTAAAAAAGAAATTTGTGCATCTGCTTGCCTACACTTCAAGATTGCCACCCTTTATGTATAGGACTTCCACCTTGTGCGTAGCCGATGTGGGATTCGCCTAAGGTGTTGTGCCCCAAACCTGGGATGTCACACACCTTCTATAGCTAAATTAAGTATAAAAAAATTTTCAAAAAGAAATTTAATTTTGATGAACATATCAGAACATGGCAACTAGAGTAATTATTTGTATAAAATAATAATAATAATAATAATAATAATAATTGTAGAATGATTGTGGGTTCTTAATTTTAATAAACATAGTCATTTGTTGGCAATGATCACATATAATTAGAGTCAAAGAACCCATTATGGGAGAAGGTGATGGTGGGAATTGAAAAATGGTGATTAGAGCAAGAATTTCTCTGAACCAATCCCTATTTTCATGAACTATATATTATTCCTACCAACTGATGCTTAGCCACTCCAATTCCCAAGAAATCATATCCAAGAAAAAGAAAGATTGAATAATTGTAAGAAAAAAATTAAAAAGAAATTTGTGCATCTGCCTAACTACTGTTACAGATCACAGTATCATTTCTTTAATCTAAAACCCTAGAATTCATTTTGCAATCATATGAAAATGACAGAAAAAAACTATGATTATTATTCAATTTTTTAACTAGGCTATATTATAAATGTTGAATTCAAAGATTGTCTTCTTTTTACTTCCCTGTAAGTTTACCACTCTTCTCTGTTGTCTTTGTTTCCAACACTAAATGGGTGTTTTTAACTTTGCCATAACTCTGCTTCTAAATTTGCAGAAGGATGGCCTTTCTAACATTTTTCAGACCAGTAATTGAAGGAATGGGCCTCAGATTTGGAGCCAGGTCATGGGTTTTGAACAGAATCTGTCCATATTTATATGCGTAAAGATCCAATCTTTTAAATGATTGGATACTTTCTTTTTCTTCTTTTTTTTTTTTTTATTTTACAAAATATGGGAAGATATTGGTGCAACCAATTTCACAGAAATGCAACTCTTAAAAACACAAATGTACAAAAATCATAAACATTATAGAAGTTTCGAGCTACATCGGTATCTCTTAAAACGGAGGTCTGAGTTGGGATCTTATGATAAAGTAGTTTGATATTTATACACCATTAATCCATTTTTCTTCAAAAAATTTTCAGTTTAAAGTAAGAAAAGCGAATTTAGAGTACTAAAAAACCACTTTGAATCTTTGATTGACACCTACCAAATTGGTGGTTGAGGACTGGGCTTGAGTTGCCAACAAATGCTCTATCCTTCAAATTTCGAAGTATATGTATTCAAGGAAAATGTTTTTTGCATGTGCTACAATTCCATGTTTGTCTGTTTAAAAATGTATTATCGGGTGATGGGTTTTGATCAGAAAATGTTGTCACTAATATGCATAAATACATATAAGTTGGAGAAAAAATGTCACCAGAAAGGAAATTTATACAAAGAAATATTTAGATTTGTGTTTTGAGAAAGGTACAACAGATAACCAAATAATGCCTTACCCAAATCACATGTAATATTGTACTATCCATTTATCCTTAATGTAATCAACAAAATTTACATTGGTGATTGGGGTGGTGAATGGATTTGAAATGGACAAGCAAGCGAAACTAAATGTCAAAAGGCTATTATCCTCCTGCATTTTTTTTTTACATTATCTTCTTGAAATAAGACAAGAAAAGGGATGTGGGTCCTAGATTTGATGATGGTGAAATTAACCATCCAATTATGGAGTTTTGATATATTTTTCAATGACTAGTTTCAATTTTCTGTTTGAGAAGAAAATGCAGTATTATATAACATTTCAGATTGGAAGCAAGAAAATAATATTTGTATATTACAAGAAAATAGAAAAAAAGAAAAAGGGTGGAGCCTCCAATTATTCATTAATTTGGGTTATCTTACTCGGTTAATTATTGAAAGTTTTTATGTTTAAGGTTCAGTGCATTTGGAGAGTTTGGTAATTGATAGGGTTTTCTTTTGGAAAAGACAATCAAAAGACGTTTTGCCTACCTCTACCATGAATTTAGACTCAAAATGCCTTAAACTTTTCATTTCATAACTGCCAATGGGTCATATAGTAAAACATATCATCCAGACGAAGTTTCATTCATTCATCTGTCGTTTTGCACAAAGCCAAATGTCGTATCTTATCAATGTCGTCCAATTCCATCATTTTCAGTATTTTACTCCTTAAGGCTTAAACAACACATTTGGCCTTATCTGGGTATTTTGCATTTTCTTGGTTTTACACCAATAATTGTGTACTGCTTTTATTATTGTATAGTTCAAAATTTTAAAAAACCAGCTAGTTAAGGACAATATTGCCTTCAACTGAATTATGCAGAGACCTCTCTTTCTTAGCTAAGGTCATACCTAATGTCCCCTGTACGGTATGGTACCGTCCAGTCGTAGGTCAATGCCTTCTGCTGACCTTTAACAACCAAGTGCTCCCCTCCATACTCAGTTTCTGGCTACACATAAATTATTATGCATGCAGATAAATAATGCAGCCCATAGCAACTGAGCATCACATGCTTGTAATCACTACTGCCTGACCAACCCTATCAATAGTGCTGACAATATCTCAATTGTTAAAGCACAGAACACACATTGCTTCAATTGGACATTATTGAAGAGTAATCAATCCTTAAATCATGTTCAATTCTTTGTAAATTGCTAATTTCTCCTTTGTAAGTTACCAATGTAGTTGATAAAATATTACTGCAAGGAGACTTAAACCTTATTACAGATAAAGTCAGGGTGCTATTATTGCCTGAATAAGAGATTTTTATCATACAAACATACATAAAAAGGTTCAACAAACAATGCACTTTACAAACTACAAACTCTTCAGTGTTCCTGTAAGGAGAGTTCGAAAACAGGAACTTGTCCAGACTTAGACAGACTTGTCCAGATTTTTACCATACAAATACTTGTCTTTGGAGTTCCCCAATTTTTTATAAACTTACAGAGCTTAGACAACAAAAACTTAAACACAGTAAAGATAATAAACACACAGATACCCATGATATCATATCTGGTCCAGCACCCTATCATTGCTGTCCTAGTGGAAATGTGAATTCATCAGCTTCTGTACCATTTTCCAAATTTTCAACCGTCAATTTTGCTGGACAGACAATATTAATCACATGTGCAGCTGGCTAGTTCCGGTTCTTACATTTCTCTACAGCCCTTGGGGCTGCAAAAGAGAAAAATAGTAAATTTTTCACAATTAAGCCCAGTACTGAGAAATTTAACATAAATATACACCAGATTGAACAGGTAGTAAGTAAGACATGATTAAGTTACCCGACATTGAGAAACAATAATAGATTTAGAACTTGATTTCAATTTGGTAGAACTATAGTCAACTCATTACACTTCATTCACCAAATGCTAGGGCTACCATAAGCCTACTTTCACTTCAGCTAAGATAGATCAGCAATATATTATGAATTCCAGAAAATACAAAGAAACTTTTCAATGCATCGGCCCTATCAGGTTGAAAAAACTATTTGCTGGATGACACACAGCAAAACTAATTGGGTTTGAAGTTCATTTCAAGAATAAAATGTTATCGGTAGTCCTGAGGAGGCAACTTATCTGGAGGTAGAATAACACAATTGTCTTCAAGAATGAAACTTTTCTCCCTCCCCCTATGCATGTATATCTATATCCCCTACGGTTTTTGATTATGAGTCAAGCCAAGTGTTACTTCTAACATTCCCGAGCACTGCACTACTATTTTTTTCCATAAGAGGAATACTCATCACAAACCGCATAAACTTTTATAGAATGCTTTCTTCACACTCCTTAAAGAAAAGAAGCTTTTTTTTTTCCAATGCAAATTTTACACGATCTGGATAACTCATCTTAAAACAAAGAATTTTTCTGGAGCATAATATCAATGTATTGGGTGTTTCTGCCTGCTCCTAATAGTTTGAACAACAAAATATCCATAATGTAGTTACTTCATAACACAAATATACGCACCTAGGCCAATTGCATCAGAGCTCTTCATAATCCGTAGCCTCTTGCATGTATCAATGAACATCCTGATAAGTACAATAATGAATTAGAACGCACATGCATTTTACAAGTTACCCAAATAAAATTTTCAAAATTTAATAGGTCAAAAATTCATGACAAATATGATAGAGCTGAACACTGAAAAAAGTAGCTAACTTCATAGAAAGAGAAAAGATATGCAAGCTGTACAAATACAGACAAATGAAATTTGGAAATGTGAGATTGTTTAGGACATGAATCAACAATCAGTTCTAGGCGATCTGCTGATTTACTACAGATCAAGAAAAGAAGACCCTTTCCAAAAGAACACACTACCTTGAACTGCTAATTGTCTCTCTTGTCCTCGCTAATCCTAGATGTTATAGAAAGCAGTAGTTCTACATTTATGAATGCCATGGTGGAAATTCAAACCAAAATATATTTTTTCCAACAACTTTGGGATGCACAAATGAAGGATATTCTTAACATTTATACACTAGTTTGAACTGCTAATTGTCTTTCTTGTCCTTGCTAATCCTAGATGTTATAGAAACCAGTAGTTATTCATTTATGAATGCAAATGTAACCAAAACATAATTTTTCCAACAACTTTGGGGTGCACAAATAAAGGATAGACAAAGTTCTTAACATTTATGCCCTTGTAATATTTACAAATGAATGTACAGATTATAATTCAGCTTCACAAATCAAGATTCATGTAAAGTTCGTGATCTTAAAAAACAACCCAACCAAAATGGAAGAAAGATTGATTACACATAAAAAATTTTAAGTCTCCTCGAGTGCATCCTGCTTCCGAAGCAGACTTCATCTAAATAACCGTACATGCTAATGATGCAAAATAACTTCCTGAGCTTAGCATTAAACTTCAATCACTTCCTAAAGCTGAGGAACTACAAAGATTGTTTTCAACAAGAAATCACTTCTTTTTTTTTTTTGACAGGGCAAGACAGAATCTAAAGAGGAAGAAAAATGCTTATAGTGGATTAACACTTACTCCCATGGAACATCACCAACAAGCATCCAATCACCATCTTTATCCTCATATGTAAGAACATATTCTGAGCCATGAAGCAGATCCTTCAGCTTGCTCTCACTCAGCATCTCTCTTCCCAAACCTCCATGAGATCCATATTGACCTGACATCATAATGGAATAGCAGTAACTCGATCGATGAAGACTAGAAGAAATATCCATGAAAATCAGTTCAGATGGTATTACATAATAATAATTTCCCCAAAGCATAACCTCCATCTCAAGTTGAAACTTTGATTGTGCTCACCTATTGTAAAGCAACTGAACATCTTCTCGAGGGCAGAAGATAATTCCTGGTATGCAGAATAGTTTCTCAAGTCAACTTTCCTCAAGTAAGGAGCACCATCCATGCTAACCTTTACAAACAAACCACTAGGCCCTCCTTTTCCATCCACCTCTTCAGTGTTCTTTGATGTGGTGGCGAGAGAGTTCTTCCTAAACGATCTGATAGGTGGCCAACCCACAACTTGTGCCCTGCCAAAGAAGAAAAATTAGAGTCTAGAGATCATTCTCATAGTTAAGAGACAGACAATAGAACCTCTGCAGTCTGCACTTACTTGGTAGCAGGTGCACTGCTGTTGTTATTTGCAGAAGCACTGTGGTTCGGTCTGGTCTCATTTGTTCCATCAGGCCTTTCCTGTGTTGATTTTGGGGCGACAGTGTCTTTCACTTTAGCTGCTTGACTCCCAAAGTTCTCAAGCACAGAACCAGGTTTCAATCCCAAGTTTGGAGAGGGTCTGGGTGATAGCATCACATTCACTTCTGCATTAGAAAGAAATTTGCCCTGCATCTCATATCGGTAATGAAAAAGTTAGACCCATTCTAAAAAGTCATTCTGTCCACATTAGTAAAAAGTCAGGTGTTCACTTGTTCTCACCTCTGAGAACCCATCCATAGCATCAGAGAACCCTCTTTTGTTACCCGAAACAACATTTTTCTGTACTGAAGAGCAATGACGCTCATTTGAGGGGTGCAAAGGGAAGAAGGGCTTCTCATCCAGTTGTGCAGAGCTCAATAGGCAGAGCTCTGAATTCCTTTCAGGAGATTGTGATCCTGGAAGCCCAAGCCGCAATTCTGTAGCCTTAAGGATCAGACGAGTCTTGTTCTGATCACAAGCAGCAGGGATTACCGAACTGTCCACAGAAGAACAATCTGACAATCCCATATAGTTTCGCTCTCTTAGTTCAGAGCCGGTCTGGCATGTGCTTTCTGCGGAGGTTGAAGAAGCCAGCAAAGTAACATTGCTCTGACCCTCTTCCTCCACAGCACCAAGCAGTGGTGAAGACATCAGAATTAAGAAGAAAAACACTCAGAATTCTCTGTAACCTGCTTAAGTTCATTGCATACAATATTCTTCCTTAGAAAATATAACCAATTTGAAAATCCTAAAGAGGCTAATCATGTATATAAAATCATTGAATTTCAAATAAAGGACAAATACTTAAACAGAGACACATTCAAACCAGCTGGCCATCAATCAATTCAAATAACGCAGTGGTGTTTGATTAATCGTGAAAGCGCCTAGTCTAACCAAAAATCCATTGGATCACTAATTACTGTGTTAAAGGGCGATGCTAAAAGCAACAAGGACAAACTAGAAACTAAAACTGCAAACATCATCAGATCTTTAGGGATATGCTAAAATTATAAACCACATGAAGTTAAGATAATTCAAAGTAACATTAGCTATTCTTTATTAGAGAACTTTCTTTAAAAAAAGAGTGATAAATATTGATTTATTATCAATGGCTGATGAATAATTAATAAATGTGAAAATCTGAATTGCACGAATACAAATTGCAGAATTCAAGCTAAGCTAAAAAGATACTATTAAAACTCTGTTAAACCAAAAATTATAAATCAAGCTGCATAACTGTTCAAAGCAGGAAAGATCTAAAACCCTTTCAGGGATCGCAAAAAGAATATATATATTCACCGAATTAGAAGAATAACGCATTTCTACCAAACTTATTGGCGATTGCAGTAAATAACGATAATTGCATGTCAAAAAATAGAACAAAGCGTAACGAAACCACCCGAGTAAATGTCTAAAAAAATTTAAAAAATTATGCAAATATGTAAACTATGTTTGGGTGGTGAGAAAGAAAAGGAAAATGGAGCTAACTTTTTAAGCCGTTCACAACGCATCAACACAAAGAACCTCCTCCACTCAACTGAGCTTAAAAATTCGTTTGGGCTTCTCACTGTAAAAAAGGCAAAACCAACATAACAAACAAGAGGATTTCAACATTTTCAATTTTGACTTTCATTTTCCTTCAGTTTTCTTAAGAAACAACCAAACATAGGCTTAAAAACAACTCATAAAATCAATAACACACAACAAAAATACCCAAAAATCCTCAAAAACGTGGAATATCTTTGTACCTGGTTAAATCAATAAAACTGAAGAAGAAGAAGAAGAAGAAGAAGAAGAGAAGATCAATTGATGCCTTTTGTTTGATTCAGTAGAGAAGAGTAGAAGAAGAGAAATTGAGAGAGAGAGCAGAGAGAGCTAAGGACCCTCCATTTGGCACAAAGCAACAAAAGCTTATTTGCTGTCTGATGTGAAACTCTATGCATTAAAATAAGCACTTGAAAAAAAATAATGTCTTTTTTAAAACGAAAAAACAACTCCATATCCCCTTTTTTATTCTTTTTATAATTTTGTTTATTAATAAATAATTATCCGCCGAACGATTCCAGGGAACACAAATCAGTAGTTGAGGATTCTTTATTTTTTAGTTAAAAGGGAAACCGTCGATCTCTTGAGGGTATATTGAGGATTTCATCTTAAATTATTGATTTTCTTCGTTGAGGAAAGGGATAGTCAAACTCCAATACGTTATCGTATGTTTTTTTTTTTTTAATTTCAATCTAATTGCATAATGTTTATAAGATTTTATACATTATTTCCTTCGTCTAAAAATTTTAAAAATATGCCAACACAGTGTTAGTGTTGATTTTTTAAATTATGTAGAAAGTGTCGAGAACTCTCTCGACCGTCTATATTTTCACTGATTTATTGAGTAATAAACAATGCTAATGAATCAAAAAAATTAAAATTAAGTATAATAATTATTAGGCTATAACTAAAGTTAATATTTAATTATTGAAATTCAATTTTTTTTTAATTACTGTCTAGAAAAATTTTTTCAAAAAAATCATATGGATCGAGTATTCAAACTAGATAAATGTCATTATATAATTTTTGTAAAAATCTAAGTCCCCTGCCTTTTTTGACGAAAAAAAAAAATATGTTTTTACATGTTTAAAATTTTAATTTTCCTAAAAAAAAAAATTAACCAACTATTGAAATTCAATGTTTCCAATTCAATATTTTATAAAATTCCAACAATCAAATATTAAAATTCAAATTTTCCAATTCATTTTTCATTTGTGATATCGTAATCAATGCTCTTTTGCCTAAGGCCATTGATGGAAGGTTAATCTAGAAACATAATTTATTAATTTTACCTTAAAATGATTATGCCAATAACAGTAATTACCCACTAAAATGTACATGTGACTAAGGGTAAGTTTAGAGTTTTTTTTAGGGCAAGTTTACAAAAATTAATATTAATAAAAAAATATTAAAATTATAGTGAAAAAAGAACCTTATTTACTGTAAATATGCAAAACGATATTAGGATTTTTTTTTTTTTCTGGTACAGCTCGAAGCTATCACGTGTCGAGAGCACAGAGCAGGCAACTAGGCAAGCATCCAAAAAATTGATGTGTAATTGAGGATACGGTTGAATAATGGGGTGAAATAGTAATTTTTGTAAAGGCATCCCATCAATCAAAACTAGGACGTCTCCAAATCACAGCCCTTCAAATGTCGTTTTCCCAACTTACACTAAGGATAAGCCGATGAGACTCTCAAACGTGTCCTAAACTTTTTAGGCCGTTGATTCCCCATTCTCACGTGTAAACATGGAAACCCATCAAAATGACCGCCTTACCCGAATAAAGGGTTGAATCACATTTGCTTTTCAACGCAACTTTTACTTGTACTTATTAAGTAATTTAATTTGAAAAATTATTTTATTAAATATTTTAATTTATAATATTAAATTAATTTAACACTTATTACATATTAAAATTATTGTATAAAAATTATACTAATTATATATCAAAATAATATTTTATATATAGAAGTAAAAAATCTAAAAAATTACTGCAATTATTACGTATTTGGCCTCAAATAAACTAAATCGTTACTTTATAGTAAATAATAATAATAACATTAATAGAAAATATAAAATTCTTTTTTTTTTAAGAAAAATGTTCCCATCCTAAATATGCAGAGTATGTTATTCCATATTAATTTGAGGTAAGATGTTTAGTCAAAATATAAGATTTACGCAATCTTTTTCGCCTCGAGTTAACTTTTAAAAAATAAGTTAGGTCCGATTCATTTCATTAGTCTTAGCATGAGTTAACATGATATCCAATTGTTTTAATCTACTACACAATAGAACAAATAAAATTGAATTAGGTCAATTTTTGATTTGCTTTTTTGACATTGACTTATTTTTTGACTTATTAATAATAACATTAATAGAAAATATATAGGATCGGTTAAACAATAAAATATTAATATTTCGATATATTTATATTGTAACAAACAAGGTTAGAATCTTAAACTATATATATATTATTAAGTTTAATTTAATTTGTAAAAATTATTTTATTAAATATTTTTTAATTTTATAATATTAAATTAATTTTAAATCACTGTGATTAGCATATTTAAAATTATTGTATAAAAATCATTTAATTATTAGTGCATTATTATTATCAAAATAATATTTTATATATGTGAAGTAAAAAAAATCTCAAAAATTACTGCAATTATTACGTATTTGGCCTCAAATAAACTAAATCGTACTTTATAGTTAAATAATAATAATAACATTAAATTAGAAAAAATAATAAATTCTTTTTTTTTTTAAGAAAGAATAGTTCCCAATTTTAACATATGCATGAGATATGTTATTCATATTTATTTGATTTTATAAAGGCAATAAAGAAAGATTTTACGAACAAAATATTAAGATTTACGCAATCTATTTTTCAAGGCATCCGAGTTAACTTATTAAAAAAATTAGTTAGAGTCCGATTTCATTTCATTTATTGCCTTAGCATGAGTTAACATGATAATCTCGCGATTGTTTTAATCTACTAGCACAGCATGTTCAAGAACAACCAGTAAACTAAATTTGATTTAGGGTCAAATATTTTTAGCGATATCATCATAGCCTTTTTTGACATTGGACTTTATTTTTTGAATGCACTTAATTGGAGATAATAACATTAATTACATCTAAAATATATAGGATCTGTGAAAGTTTTTTAAACTAATGTAAATATTGAATATTCTCGAAATATAATTTTATAATGGCTGTAACCTAAATCAAGGTGTTACTTTATAGAATCTTATAACTATATATATTATTATAATATATATATATATTATATATATATATAAAGCTTCTAGAAATCATCTATCCTTGATTTCTTTATTATTATTATTATTATTATTATTATTATTATTTTTATGATGAAAAAAGGCAAATAGTACATAATGAGGGTGCTTTCCAATTTTCTAAAAACCAGCAAATCATAGCCCTTCGTTTTCTTTATCCATGGGTGCCTTTATATGGTATTAATTTTGCAAGGAAAAGAGAATAGAAAATGATCCCAAATTCAATATTAGAGGAAAAGAAAAGCAAACAATCGTTGAGCCTTAAACATAAGAAATTCAACAACCCCGCTCACTACTACACTATAATTTTTACAATAAAAGGAGAGATTCCTATCCTTCAATCCTCGTGTTACATGCAAATTACTAATATAGCATGTCACATGAGTGATCCCTATGCTTGTAGGCCACCAAACTCCAACTTAATTCCATGGCATAATTTTTGTAATTAGCATGCTATTAGATGTCATTTGATAATGTTAGAGTTACTTTTTAAATAGTTTATAATATTTTAATTAATAAAAATGCTAAACATCATTTCTTATATTATTCGGTAATATAATATTAAACTACCTTTTATAGATTAAGATAACAGTTTGTAAAAAATTATTCTATTTTTATAACGTTTAGCTTTTTATATTTTATGAAAAGTTAATTAAACATTTATTAACTATTCAAACAACCGCGTGTTGTTAAAATAACTAATTACTATTGAAATAGCTGAATAATTAATGTTTATTTGATTTGATTCGGTTATTATATTTTTAATGATCAATTATTTGGTTTAGAGGTGGATAGGTTCGATTTGATTCGTTTGAACCGAATGGCCGCACTTATTGGCAATTCTGGAGGAGTTGAGGGTAAATATGGAATAGAAAATAATATTTAGTTAGAGAGAGAATGAGAGAGGCATTTAGTGGAGGGGTGAGGTAGAGAGGGGACAGGGCAAAAACAGGTTGAAGCGAAATGATGTATTGGGGGACAAGAAAGCGGCTTTTAATTTTGGATTGCCGGGCGCAGAACGGGACATATAACTTCCTTCACTACCTTCTCTGTTATTGCTTTCTCCACGCGCTTTTTGCCCTGTGTTGATTACACGTCCCAATCAGCTGTGGGATTGCACATTGCACGGCAGGCTTTCTGCTTTTTGTAGTAGCATGTTTTAATTAGGTCTGTAACCTTTCTGGCAGCCACTAATAGCCTGTACTAATCTAAAAGGGTATTTTCCAATATTAACTTAGTTTGGTGAAGGAAAAAAAATTATCATTAATAATTTAATTGTTCAAATCTCCAATAATAATTTATTTGAACAATTTTAGAGTTCGATTTATTTTGTATTTAAATTAAAATTTATTAATAATAGAGTTATATACTTTTTATATTAATTTTTATATGATTATAATTTACTAAAATAATGAATTCATTAATATAATTTTTATTAACTTAAAAATTATTTTATTACTAATATTTATAAGTCAAATGAAATTATTTAAGCATGTATACAAAGCTAATTATAATTTGCTTAATTTTTAATTTTTATTATTTTCTTTTATTTTTAATAATACTAGCTATTTCTATTGCAATGGATTTAAAATTTTTTTAGAAGAAAACACAAAGAAGTCATGAAACAGAAGAGGTTTTTTTTTTTTTTTTTTTTTTTTATTTATTTTGTAATTCATTAATATTTTAAAATCTTCATTAATAATAGAGGTTAGTATTATACTTTTTATATTAATTTTTATATCTCAACAATAATTTTTGCCATATTATTAAATTTAAATACTAAAACATTTATTAAATTAGACTATACATAATATAAAATAGAATATTAAATTTTTATTATTAACTTAAAATTATTTGTTATTTACTGCGAAATATTTATATTAAGTTCGAATGAAATTATTACAGCAATGTTATATCAATCTAATTATATAATAATTGCTTATATATTTTTTTAATTTTTATTTATTATTGCTTTTATTTTTTAATAATTACTAGCTATTTCTCATTGGCAATGGATTTTTTTAAAGAATTTATTATTTTTAGAAGAAAACATAATAGACATCATGAAACAGATAAGGTTGATTTTTTGTTCCTTTTTTATTTTCTTTGAGACAATCGAAACACCAAAGAAATAATATGTGTCAGGTATTTTTTTTTTTTTTTTTTTTTTTTGAGACAATCGAACAAAAGAGGTATTAGTAAATAGTAAAATTTTTAAAAATTATAATTATATAAACAGTAAAAAACACAAAGGAGTATATATAATTGCTTTAATTAGGGTTTAGAATTATAAAATTTTAAAACTTTATAATTAAAACCATTAATATTCCAGATTTTTTTAAAAAAATTGCTATAATTTTCTGATTTTCTTTAAATTATTTATGCAATGAGCTTTGATTTGGCTTATGGGATTTTTGGATAGAAAAAATTTCCTTTCCATTGGAGTTAATCTATTTCATAATAGAACCTACTCCACTCAAAATTTAAACATGAGAACTCCTTTGTAGTTTTAACTTAACCTTTTAGAATAAGAGATGAAAGCAATAAGTTTTAAATTAGTGGTAAAAAATAAAAATAGATAAATCAAAAATATATATATTTTTTATGTAGGAAAATAGTGGTTTGCTTTGATGAAGGCAAAGCAGAAACGGGTTTTAAAGAAGATGAGACTCAAACGAAGAAACGTATGGAAAAGAAAAGGAAATAATGATGTCTGATTGGGAGGGAAAATTGCGGTACACGCGCGTTGATTTTAGCTTTTGCGTTTTGAGAGAGAGAGAGAGAGAGAGAGAGAGATTATTTAGTAACCATCATTTAACTGCCACCTCTTTTGCACGCCTTGCCTCAAAACTATCTATACGTTGCATCTCCATGGAGCACTATGTTTATGCTTGACTTGGCATCCTCATCAAAACCATTTGCCCCGCGTCACTCTTACGCCATCATCATACACAAGCACATTTGGCCACCCTTCTTGTTTCAATTCATTGTCCTTTTTTTATTTCTATTAAGAAAAACAGTGTTTTAACTTTTATGTTAAATATATAATCTTAAATATCTTATTAAAAATATATTGGAGATATTATTATATTATTTAAGGTTTTATTTTGGCATATAAATCGAATTTTTTAAAATAATCTAAAAATCAAATCATAAATAACTATACTAAAAGAAAATTTGAATGCATGTATACACACGTTCATATCAGAGTATCATAATTATATTTATTATATAAATATAAATATATATAATTTGACTCGGTTCAATTATTTTAATTTTTTATTATTCAAATTAAATTTTAATTGAGCTAACTAAAATTTAGTAAAATCAGAAGAATTGTGATGTTTTTTTCTCTGAGACATGAAAAATTGTGATCTTATTACGCATAATAAATGTCAATTCATATGTTTATAAAATAAAAAAAATGAAACATTTTATTGTGGACTTCCATAATTGTTTTCACTCAACGAGGCTATCAAAATTTATATCGCGATAACGAACTCAATGAAAATATTTATTTTAATATTTTTGAAGTGTGGGATGAGACGATAAAAATTTTTTTTATTTTAACCAGAAGTTTGGAATTTAAATCTTTATTATAAAGTTTCTTTAAATAATTTATAAGGAGCAATTTGCCTCCTTTCGTAAGCTTACCGGTGCAAATTCAGATAATCAAGCTAGAAAATTTTGGATAACTAATGATTTAAAACAAAAAAAAAACACAAACTCTAATATATATATATATATATATATATAATATATATATACAGTCACTTGGCAAAAAAACAGAAACAAAAAGTGGGCCCTGGGCCTATGAGTGTTGAAAGAAGTATCATATAATTAATGAGTTGGGCCTCCATGCAAGGTTTTTGGACCGTAGGATTTTCTATGATTTTTACAGTGCAAGTACAGTACAGAGAAATTCAAAGACACTGACCTAAGATTGGTGTGCCTTGCATGTCCTGTATTTTACTATGATTACCCGTTTGTCACAGTCGCAGTGGCAAAATTTCTGTCGCTATAATAACTTGTGCTCTTCTTCTGCTTCCTCTTCTTCTTCTTCTTCTTCTTCTTTCTCATCCTGTTGGGCCTTTTCAATGCTAAGAAGTCTCTCTCTGACAAATTTTTAACAACGAAGCATGTCATACAGATGACAAAACATGTCATGAATAATGAATGTGACTTGTCTGACTCTGATGGTAATGATAATATAGAAATGTATATTATATGTTTTTAAGTCTCTTTATCAAAGCCCCATCCAAACAAGCTTTGCACACGAGTGATAGTATTTTTTGACATTAGTGATGATATTGATAGCTACCCTATGAAAGATTTCAATTATTGTTATTTATTAAATAGTTTCTCCCTCCATTTAAAAAAAAAAAAAAATTTCTCCTTTAAATTATTTATTACTGTTATGGCAGATCAGTTCCATAAATAGCGTCCAAAATTAAAATGAGGATACATTTAAATTTTAGTTGATTCCGATTTTAGTTGAAATCAATTTTTATTTTCAAACGATTCTAATTTGTGTATGGAGATTAATCTCAATTTGAAATTTGTGCATATGCGAGTCTAATTATTATCATTAATATTAAAAAAATAAAAATGAAATATATAGAAGCAATATCCTATGGGCGGTTGACATTTCTCTTTCATTTCTGAATTGAATTTTCCAATACCATAGGATTTGAATGGCGTTTTGAACAGTCTTTCGTTTCCAAAGCTCGATTTGTGGGTTTGGCATTTTTTTTTTTTTGGGTTAAAGCCATTGATGCCACTGACCCACTGGCAATTCTTGTTCGAAGCCTGCCTCTGCTTCACCTAATGTTAGAAAAGGTTTGACATTTCGATTTCAGGACTGGACCATGCCAACGGTCAATCTTAATCAAACAGCATAGTCCTACGTTTGGGCCAATAAATCTGGGCTTAGTTTAGACAAACCCAATTACCAGTTTAAAAATGCTTACCGTGGACTATTGTTAGAAACCCACCAAAAATATCTAATTTTGTTTTTGTCATGGAAAGATGTTTGTACTCTGTATGTCATGTGGGCCCATCGAGTTCCTAAGATATAAGAGATATTATCTTTTAAATTACTTTGATAATTGAATTAGTAGGACTAAATTGAGTTTTCAGGTGAATCTTACATGTAAAATTAAAGATTCCATATCTGAGATGGTTACCGTTAAAAAAGTTTTATTTGAACATTACTTTAGACCTAGACATAAAAATACGTGAAAAAATCAAATTTAAATGATAAATAATCTTTTGTTCTTAAAACAATTTTTGTGATATATCAAAAGCCACAATTTAAAGATAAAATAACAAATTTGGATAGGTAGATTATTTTTTGGAAAAAAAAAAAAAAGAAAAGGTAAATATATTTTTCTATAATACATATTTTCAGAACTATTTCAATGATAATGTCTCTAGGTTTATTAGATCCCTATTTTGTATCATGTAATGAATGATTGAAAAACAGAAAATATATATAATATATAAAAAAAAAAATGAAATTGCAATGTGGGTAAAGAAACTTGTGATAAACAAAAGAAACGTGACTTTCTTTCATTGTCTGCCAGTGGGACGGATGAGATACGCGTCGGCATTCCATTATACTGAGAAATGAATTGACATGACCCAACCAATCAAGGGGGTAAAATGAGTTTAGTCACTCGAATTTGCTGAATAAGCTTATCTCGATGAACTCGAACTCAACTCGGCCCGCAAGCCAGCTTGATATAGTCAAGTTAAATTTACAGTATAGTTCAATAAAGCAAAATTAATTAAATATATATTAAAACAATATTATTTTAATTGATATATTTTAAATTGGAGTTTGAGATCAAACTATATTTGAATTTGCCTATTTTAAAATGAATCGAGTTCGAGTATATACTTATTCAACTGAGTGCGAACTCAAATTTTTAAGCTCAAGCTCGAGCATGAGTATATCCTTATCAAGCTCACTAGAGCTTAGTTTGATACTAAACTTATTTAGCTTATTTAAGCTATATTGGTACTACCGAATAAATTAAGATATTTTAAAATATAAACCGAATCAAATTAAATTTATGACTCAATTTGATTTCAACTGTTTTTGGATAAGTTTTTAAATTTATTTTTAGACTTAATAAAATCGAATCATGCAAAAAAAAAAAAAAAAAAAAAAAAAAGGTTTTTAATAAATACAAGCACATTGAGTCACTCTTTACCCAATCAGTTAATCTGACTAAGTCCTAATCCTACCAATAAAAAAAAAAAAAAAAAAAAAAAGAAAAGGTTTTTCTATGAGAAATAAATTAAAGCAATTTATTGGGTTTTACCAAAATATACTAAGCCCTAATCCTAATTATATATGTGAAAACTTAAATTTGTGACTTTTTTTTTTTTAATTCTTCTATTAATTTAGCTAGGACTAAAGTTTGAATTTATAATCTTAAATTTATTCCTTCAATAAAAATTTATTGACATATATATATATATAAAGTTAAACATTTTTTCTAGCAATAAGCTGGCATTATATATATTAGAACTAAGGATTCGCTAGTCCCTGGGTTAGAAGAAATTTTTTGAATATTCTATATTATATGCATAGAAATAAATAAATAAATCATCAAGTATGTAAATCAATCTGCTATTTATGGGTGGAGGCGAATTTATTACACCATAAACTCTAAAGCATTCCTACCTTTTTCAGATGTCTGTGGACACTGTATAAAATGCACTTTGATCCATTTCCTGTTATTTTTCTCTTTACAGGTTCCTTTCTATTTTCTAGCATCTCAAAAGAAATGCAAGAGGAAAGTAATTCTTTTTCTAATTCCCAAAAAAACAAAAAAAGTTAATAATTACATATATGAACTGTGCAGAAAAAGTGATAAAAAATAAACAATCATATATAGCAGATGGTAAAAAAGAAAACAAAATCACAAATGTAATGGAACTGGAAAAGTGGGTGGCTTTTCCATCTTCACTGTGATCTTCTCCTCCATAATAGAAGGCTGACATGGACAGGCCATCGCTATGAACTTTGGTACTTGATCCCCTGGCATCAAAACTGGCACAGTATTCTGTACTTGATTTTGCTTTGACTCCTGTTAATTAATCCAAAAATCTAATTAACCCAAACCCAATTTACATGATTAATCCCTTTTATATATCTCTGCGAAAAATTTATACTTCGCTTTAATGATACTGAATCGTCAGAGATCGGAAGTTAAAACCCACGATAAAACGTTAATTTTCATGGAAAGAAAATGAAAAATCAAAACTATAATATGATATTAACATGTACATATATATATGTATATATATATATATAATAATACATTTACATCACAGTAAATTTAATTTATCATATCCGATATAGTAATCATAACCTTGTGTAAAGGAGAAGATTTTGAGGGTTAAATGCTTCTATATCTTCTTGAACATGTGAGTTATCTTCCATATATATATATATATATATATACATACCTGGTGAAGAGGAGAAGATTTGTAGGGTAAATGCTCTATATCTTCTTGGACATGGGAGTTATCTTCCTCACCTCTTGAAGGTTTTAGAAGCGATCTAAGCTTATCCCAGTGGACACAGCAAGTGAAAAAAACACTCATGAAAAACAACAGAACTAATAAAAGAGCTAAACCTAAAGGAAACTCTATGGATGGTCGACTTGATTCTTCGCTCTCCATAACTATATATTGAGTTCTTTTTGTATTTGAGCTATCTGTTATCTCTTCTCTCTGCAGATTAATAAATGGAAGAAAATAAATATAACATGGAGTTGGTGATATTGATAATAGAGGAGCACAACCTTTAGCTTTTTGGTGGTAGTGGCAATTTCTTTAGGTTGGCTTCATGTTTTTAACGTACACATCATCGTTGTTACGGAAAAGGGTGGGGTCCTTCCTTTGCAATTAGCAATAATAACGCCATTAACAGTTGGTTTTCTTTAATCATTACACTGTGATTGAGTTTTAGGGATGTAAGAAAGCTACAGTATTAACAATGTAATTAATTAATAATTAATTTCCTAGGTGGGACTGCTCCGTTGAAATATCTGCGTTAAATAGACTTAATTGTACTTAGTGTATGTTTATTTAAAATTACTCTTACACCAATCTAATTTAAAGCCAATCAAGTAATAATTGATAGTTACAAATGACATAAATGAAGGTATAGTTCCTTACCAATGTAAAAACAAAAAAAATGAAATTATCATCATAATGCTTGTAAGAAGTCTCTCTTAGAGAAGCCAAAAGCCTTGTGTTGTATGAAATTACGAGACTTCTGCACTCTGCAGTAAACCATTTTTTAACCACTAATCCACTAAAAACAAAAAGAAAAATATACTAAGTAATTAATTTATTAGTGGCTTAACCTTTCTTATTACTTGACCAAGCACACAGTTAATTAATCGTTTATACATATATAATTATTTTCACAGGAGTGGGGTTAATTAACAAAACTACCAAAATCAGTATCATGAATTGCCACTTCACCACCACCGTGGAGTCAATATATAGCACAAAATCAGTATCAAAATTGCCACTTCACCACCACCTGAGCATACTATATATATAATTATAATATATAATATATATATATATAATATATATATATAATATATAAATATATATAAAAGCATTTTTTCTCAATATTACATGTGATACTAATCTTGAATATGGAATACTTTCTAGCTCTTGGCACATAAAAATTCTTGCGGATGACACATGAGGATAAGAATGTTCACATAGAACTCTTAAATTTATAATGCTTCACATAGAATTTAATTATTAGTATTATATAAATATTGATATTAATTATCATTCAGTTATCATAATTAATAAATATTAGTAAATAATTATAATTATAATTATTATAATGTTGTAACCTATCTTTCTCAATTAAAATTACATAATATTGGTCTTAATAATAACCTATTTTAAATTATTATAATCATATTAATATGTATTAAATTATTAAATTATTATAACATTATAACCTATTTTTTAATTAAAAATTATCATAGTTTTGATGTTGCTTATCATATTAACATGTATTATGACTTATCTTTTAAATTAATATTATTATAATATTGACATTGAATATCATTATAATCAATTATAGTTATCATTTAGTTTTATGAATGGAAATTAAAGTTTATATTTAAAAGAATGATAGAGAAGCTTAATGGTGAAAATATTTATTAATAGTTTTATTAATAATGAATATCTAAACATTTCAATATTTTATTTATTTTAAAATTGCAATATATAGTTTTTTTTATTAGTTTTAATGATAATATATTGAATTGCCATTAATTGCTTAGTACTAGAATATAAATAGAAAGAGCTCTTTGAGGTTTGGTAAGTTCATTTTTTTTTTTTTTTTTTTTTTGAGGTTTGGTAAAGTTCATTTTTTTTTTTTTTTTTTTTTTAAGTAATTTTTCAATAATTCTTATATAATTTTCTTTTGACATTGATATATTTTTTTTCTCTTCTAATTTCTATTCTCTCTATCAAAAATTAGAAAAAAATTTGATAAATCATAAGAGAAAGAAGCGTTTAATAATGAAATTGATCAATGCATTAAGAAATAATATATATAAACGTCTATGATTGAATTATTTTTATTGTCGGCATTTTTAATTTATTTATTTTATTAATTTTAAATAACGCTCGTCCTTAAGAAAGTTTAATTAATGTCAAAAATAAATAATTAAAATAATGATTTTTAAATAATAATATTTCTTTTTCCTTTCAATTTTTATTATAGACATATTTTAATTAGTCGAAATGTTTGGAATTTTTGACCATAGATTGTTTCTTTCTTCAATTTAAATAATTTTCAACAAAATTAACAAATATAAAATTAAAAATAATTTAAATTGTAATTTTTCTTAATTAATTTTATATTTTAAAAATAAATTATCACAATATCTCTAAAAGATTATAGATAAATATAGTTTATTGTGATAGCACAGACATGCATATAAGTTAGTAATTATTAATATAGAGACTTAATTTTGTTAAAATTAGATGGACAAATATAAAATTAAAAATAATTTAAATTGTAAATTTTTCTTAATTAAATTTTATATTTTAAAATATTATCACAATATCTCTAAGATTATAGATAAATATATTTATTGTGCATAGCACAGACATGCATCTAGTTAGTAATTATATATAGAGACTTAATTTTGTAAAATTAGATGTTTTAGTAACACTTACCTGTTTCAGTAGTTTTTTATAAAACGTTAAAAGCTAAATGTTAGAGAGATTAACTTTTTATAAACGCTATCTTAACTTCTAAAAATTAATTCAAATGCTATATTACTAAAAATTTTAAAAAATACATGATTAAAACACTAAAAACTACTTAAAAGCAATGGGGAATCAACTACAGTCGTTGCACTTAATTTAACTCATGGACAGGAGATGGTGCAATTTGCCATTGGGTTATCCACAAAAGAGAAGATATAAATATATATATATATGTGCAAGATGATGTAATGATTTGAATGTGGAGTCCAAATATTAGGTCTCAGTCTTTTTCAGCTTGCAATATTATCCAATGGCTGCTTCACAGACAGTGGAATATACATGTCATCATTTATAAGTAATTAAACCTAACTAAAATTGTAACTATAACTTTTGGAAGAGAGGGAAAATTTTGCATTTGCTTTTTGACAATGTTTGTGATATAGTTTGAGCAAGCATATGCCATAATTAAAAAATATATAATTTCTTAAATCTATAGAGACAGATATAATAACATTTATTTTTTTTATTTTTTATTTCGTTTCATTTGTGATAAAGAAAAAAAAAAAGAGATAATTTTTGGACATATATATTCTTATTATTTTTTTGGAATATTTTTTTTTTGAAAGATTTCAACTTGGGAATCAATCCACATTTCACAGGAATATATTGTGTTTTGGAATTTTTTTTTTTTTTTGCTAGTATTTTTTGGTAGGTTCGGTTTAAAGCCTATTGTTTCATTAGTATTTTCTTTTTTTGGTAGGTTCTGTAAAAAATAATACAATGGGCCTGTCATTCAACTGTGTTTTAAATGGGCTTGAGAGTGTAATTTAAAAAATTTAGCGATAAGCGGGCCAAGATAATATAGTACTTGGGCTAAAGTGCGCTTTTCGCACATGACTCAATGCGAACGACGTAGTTTCCAATTTCAGAAGCAAAATGTCACCTTAGGCAGAACCCGTCAGTGAATTTTGCGTTTGTTCGCCGAGAAAATGGAAGAAAGAACAATAAGACACTTAGGGAACGACGAGGTTATGCACGAGAGTGTTCTATCTATTCAATCTCTTGGTATCCGTTTTTCCGAATTTACCTTACTCGTATTTTCTGCTCTCTATTTTTTCATGTTATACAACACATAAAAAATAAAACACAGACAGTTTTTTAGACTCCATCTTTATCTTGCTTATCATGAATTGATTTTGAGAAAAGTTGTGATAAAAAAATACAGAGGTGGATGTCATTTGGATCCCATGTGTGGAAACATCTCTGCATCTTCCTTAGGTCCTGTTTCCTTCCTGGTATAGAGAGCTTTTCAAGACACATAAATGAGTTCATAATTGAAGTAGCTTTTCCCTTTTTGAATTTCATTTTCTTTTTCTCAAAAAGTTTAGGCTTTTAGCTATATCTTTGGTCATATCAAAAGATTCTTACATGTTGGAATCGGGAAAGTGAGTTTCAGGACCATGTCAAATGCCAATCAGATGTAACAATAAGAGCATAAACAAAGCTTAAAAGCATTGTGAGATAAGACAATCTGATTTCACAATTACGGGGAAAAACTCAAAAAGCCAGATTACTATGTTCTTGGAATCTAAGGACACTTCTTTCTTTTATTTTTTTTTTAGTAGCAATATGTAGAGATAATACTTTATGGTGGCCTACTAGTTGAAATGATCAGTTCAATTTGTTGCTGAATTATGCATTTGGCATTGTGTGGAGAAAATTGACATAAAGTTAATGTTGTCAAAACAAATGGTAATATCATTAGCTTTTGTCTTTTTAATCCTGTTTGATTGCTACAATGCTATCATTTTGTGTTGCAAGTAACTTTAGCCTTGTTATTTTTCAGATTATGCATGTCATGTCTTTATTACCTTTTGGTTATCATGCCCAACCCTAGATTCTATTCTCTTTATACGTGTTTTGGTTCAAAATTATTGGCTGTTGATATGAATTTCTTATGCTTCTGAGTTCTGTTGAATAGCAGTATTCACACACAATCATAATAACAATGGTTTCTTGCACCGTCTTTGATCATCCACAAAGACCAGTCTGCAATGAGTGAAAGAAAACCTTAAGACCTACAAGACATTTAAAACTGAAGGATCATGGAGTTAATTAATATTTTTCATTTGCTGATAACAAATCCATTTTGTATATGATTAACAAATGTTGAAGATATATGTGACGGGGTGTAGAGGGGCAAGCAAACTGTGAGAACCATCGAGGGGATGATGACATGTGGCTTTGATTAAAGGTGACTATTTCAACTTACTGGAAGTTATTAACCTGTGAAAACTAGTAGTCTCATATGTTGATAAATCTACATATGTTGCAATAATTTGGGTCTCGATAATGATAAAGAGCTTTTTTATTTGTTGTTTTGTATCCTGTCTGTCCTGTAATTTTGTGAATATAAACTTTCTGATATGATATGATATGATAGGCTTTGCTTTTTGTTCCTCCATTCTAATCCGCAATTATAACATGTACTTGCGATAAAACATGAAACAGAGATAATTTCTTGGTAATTCTGTTTCTAACTGTCCATCATTATAGAATCTGAATTTTATTTTGCTCCTAGAAGTCTCCTTTATATTACCTTTCTAACATATTGGGTCATGCTAGCATTGGATACAAACCAAGAAAATACAATCAAAGCATATCCCTCCCCAACACACAAAAAGAGGGAACTTTTAGATCAAACTAATTACTAGATGCTAAATTTATTCATACAAGATTCAGGAGAGGCAGCTGTTACCCTTGTACATTCATAGCAAAGTTCAGAATGATATGTGATTCCACTATAGCTGCAAGGAAATTCCATAACCACAAAGTGAAAATTGATTCTAGAAATGAGGTATGGGCAAAAAAGGTAAAAAAGTCTAATTAGATAAGCTTCAAATAGGTAACTTAGGCATGTGATGAACTGTGTCTCAGATTATTCCCAAAAATATTCCCATCACATTAAAGCAATTGAACTAACATTTTCTCCAATTGAAGAAGATAATTAATACACAAGGGTTTGATGAATAGAATTAACTTATTTGAAAAATTTTGATGTCACTACAACCTCACTTGAAAACCTCATTAAATTAACAGAGATTTGGAAATCTATCTATTTAAACTTTTTCACAAGTTCCTGCCTTTTATTTCTACAGGCATCTTCCTCCATATCCTGCACTTCTAAATAATGCTTGCTTTATGTCTTCAGAACTTATATGTCTTCTCTGCTCCAATTCCTATTATAACCCCAAAAAACAATACAGAAATTAGAAATTTATATAAATAAGTTCCATGAAGAATCAATAAAAAATATAAGCTAAAGCTAATAAGAAATGATTTTGAATCTGTACCTCTGAGCAAGAAGCCTGCATTGCAAAATCATTGAAGCAACTAATTACACATTGTTGAATCTCAAGTCCTAATGCTTCTAAAGTATTTACTGTTGATAGCAATAATCCTGGTTTCGATGCGCAGCAAATCTCAATTCTAGTATCCTCATTTCCTCTTGCTACATCAAACTGCAAAAGTGTACACCAAAGAAATTCTGTTCAGTAACAAAGTACTTTTTTTTTCCTTTTAATTATAAGCTTAAATTACTGCAGAGTGCATACCTTTGGTGAATTTCTCACTATAAATTCACTTGCTTTTGTGTCTTTGAAAATGCCCATCATATTCAATTGATTTGAACCCACTTCAGTTTCTTGTTGCAAATTATTGATTCTTTCCAGTAGCTCCTTCACATAATCTATAGTATCTCCAAGAATTGAAGTTCTGTCCATCTATAAACACACAAAAAAGGGAAAAATCAACAAAAGTTAGCCTTCATAAACAAATGAACTTTTGACACATTTATCATTAATTAATTAAATTAAGCCATTACTTACCTTGCTTATCTTAGGAACAATTGATCTTAACATGGAAAGGCGGTCATTTAACCTCTTTCTTCTTCGTCTTTCAGCCATTAAATTCTTTGATGGCTGCCCTTCTAATTTCTTACCTCTCAATTTTCTTTCTGGGCAAGCGCCAATATTGAAAACTGGTACTGCTTCAGGAGATTGCATTGGCTCAACTTTGCAAGTAGTCTTCTGAATATCCAAGCTTGTCATATTATTTTGAAGCAACCCTAGGTCTTGATCATCCTCCATCATGGACATTGGAGTAGTGTCTTCTTGAACATGGAAAGGCGGTGTGTCTAAAGTGTTATATGAAGAATCAGTGAACTGTGGAGCAGAGAACTCATCTGTAAATTGCTGTGTAGTTGAGAATTCATCAATAAATGGACAAGAAACTTCATTGAAGTAGTAATTATTGAAATCTTGCTCAGTAGGAGAAGAAAATTCTTCATTGAAAGAATTTTGAGGGAGTGTGACTGCAGTAGTGGAAGTGTTTAGATTATTGTCATCAAAATAATAATCAAAGTTCCATCCACTGGAGAAAAGCTCACTCATTTCTGTTGGGAAACTTGGGGTAGTTTCCCAACAGTCTCTTCTTAGAGAAAGCAATTCCTCTAAGAAGCCATGTTCATTGATCTCCATTATCTCTCTCTCTCTCTCTCTCTCTCTCTCTATCTCTCTCTCTCTCTTTTTCTTTTTCTTTTGGGAAATGATAATAACTTGATATAATGAGAAGCTGCACCAAGTTGGGGAATATGTGTGTGTATATATAGCCCAAAGCTACACACACGTAAAAGGGTTTCTACTTAAATATAGTAAGTATAAATTATAGTATGTGCTATATTGTATTTATTAGGAATTTGAAGCCTAAGATTGAAATGGGAATCTGCTTTATTTTCTGTTTCTTTTATTTTCTATGTGAGAGAGGGTGATTTCATGTCTTTTTCACCGAAATCTCTGCAATCAAAAAAACTGAATATAAAATTTCTATTTTCCCTGAAAACTTTGACCCCTCCACGTCTGTCCGAACCGAAAAGGATGAAGTTGGCATCACAGTAGACTGTAGACCCTGACAGGTTCTTTGTATGGTTAATCTCTGTAATATTTTCTGCCTATCAACACAAATCAGAAAACACCATAACATAAAACCAACCCCTTTCTTTTTTTCTCACTGAAAAAATTGCTGGGTTGGGTCCCATATACCTCATATATAGGTAATTAGAAATAAAATTTTCTTTTCTTAGGAAAAAAAAAAAAATTACTTTGGGTCTAATTTTAGGTCAGAAATTCAAATGAGTTGGTGGTGGGGGCCTTCTTCTCTTTGTTTGTTCCCAAAATTTTCCTATTGCTTCATTTGGAGGACTTTGTCAAAAAAATTTGTCCTTTAATTATTCAAGTAAAGGATAGTTTTAATTATCATTGGCTAATTAAATTACAATTAAAAATACTTGATTTGTTACTTAATGTAAATAATATTAATTGTATGTGGTAGTGGAACGATGTGTATTACTTAAAAGAGCAGTTTTTGGCTCATGTATATGGTGTTAGTGAAGGCAAGAATATGTAGACACTATAATCACCTTTTCAACGGCTGTTTTGGCTGTTTCCGGTCGACAAGCACTGCAATTGTACATGAGACTCTGCCTTTTTGTGCCTTATAGGGTTCTAGCAACAGTCTCTATTACTGTGTTTAATTTCATTCCCCTATATATTCTTTATTATTAGTGATAATGCAAATTAATTATTCTTAATTATCATTGTTAATTCTCAGCATTTGGTAGGAGTTCAGATGAAGGTACACGTTTGATTCCTCATACTCTGCACTATATATTATTCCCCAACAAATTCTATTAGCTCTATTCCCCAACAAACTCCTCGTAGCGTTTGAATTAGCTTCAGATGTTAAGGTAGCGTTAAGGTCAATTTACGTAATATTTAATTTTTAGCGTTTCATAAAAAGTACTCAAATAATTATCGGTCGTTCAAACAGCTAAACATTTTTTTGAATAGACGCGTGTGTATATATAACTTAGCAATATCATGTTTTAAAGGGTGTACTTTTACAAGGACAGTAGAAAAAAGCATACCGACCCTTTAAACATGGTAATCGTAATTTTGTCATTATCATTATTTCCAGTTTGCTGAAACTATGTGCCATGTATATATCAACATCTAGTGTGCCTAATTAATTGTTATTGCTAAATTAATTGTCTCACTCTAAATTACAATTTGCCATTTAAGTCATAGGGGAATAATTTCCCATCTGTTTTCAACCTTTCGTACATATTCAAACAAGTAAAAATATTACTAAATAGGTTCATGTATGCATGTGTTTGACATTTAGAGGATTAATTACCATGTCTAATTAAATGTATTTTTATTATTTTTCCTATACAAATAATCTATTTTTGTCAAATTAAATACGAAAGATTCTTAGCCACATGCTATGACTATATATATGAAAGATTCTAGCGCCACATGCTAGACTATTATATATATAATATATATATATATATATACTATATATATAATGTGCATATATGAAAATGATAATGCAGAGAAAAAATTAAAAAATAAAAAAAAAAAAAAAAAAAGAAAGAAGAAATGCGTAATTATGAAACACGTGGGGTTCATCTCTACTAACCTACATGATGCATGACCATGCAAATAAAAAATAAAAAAAAAAAAAAAGAAAGAAGAAATGGTAATTATGAACACGTGGGGTTCACTCTACTAACCTAATGTGCATGACCAAGCTTTAGCTTCTTATTAGCTGGAAAATAAGAATTTTATTAGGAAGGTGAAGGTGAAGGCGAGGGTGATGACTGAAGAGAGGAAAGGTGAGGATTTGAAACAAAAAGACAAAGAGCTAATCATGGAAAATTAATATTATAACAATAACCACAAAAATAAAGTAAATAACCTTTTATGAATAATTATATTTAATTTATCTGTTTGTGCTTGCTTGGTCAGCCAGGTTTAATTATTAGACCCGTTTTCTTTCTCGCAGCAGCCGGTTTATTTCCACTCTGTTGTACCAAAAAGTTGAATAAGCAAAATGGCAATTAATTGATTGTTTTGCTATTTTTTAACTGATTTATATAATTATGAAATTCGCATTATATATATATATATATAATTAGATTAATAAATAACTATTACTTACATAAAAGGGTTCTACTTTGGTAATATGATAATTGCATATCTTAAATTTCTCTTCATAAGAAAACAAGTATATGTTAATTAATAACTTTTTCACTTCACTAGTGAGCTCGATAATACTGAAATTATTTATCAAACTGTAAATTTTTTAATTTGTTTCATCATTTTTAACAATGTATGAATCGAGAGATTTCTAGATTAAATCTCTTTAATCGTGAACTTTTTATTAATTTAGTGAATTATTAAAAATAAAAGATTAATTATTAATGATGGTTGGGATGTAGCAGTTGTGATTTTTCTCTTTTAATTAAAAGTTTTGAGTTTAAGCTTTGGATATGGAAATTGCTACGTTAGGAGAGTCGCTCACTATATGGAACTTGTAATATTCGAGCCGGATGTAGTTGGAATTCAATACTCGAATGCTGGTGGTTATAAATTAAAAAAATAAAAATAAAAGATTAGTTGGAGTTGAATAACCTATTATAATTATTCTCATTCATTTAACTTCCAATAAATCAAAGAATGACAAACAATAAACATAATTATCAATTATTATTATTATTATTATTATTATTTCAAGAAAAAGAAATTCAAACATCGAGGAGAAGTTTTGCATTATTGAGTCGAGTCTCAATCTCAACTCTCAAACATGTGAATTACACTGCTTCGCAAATGGCTTCTGAAGTGTTCCCACGTGCCTGCTTGCTGTGTGGAATCTTTACTTCTTTAGCATGTCTTGGCTTCGTAATTTTCATTGTTCAGTACAGAAAATTTCTTTTTTCTTTTATTCATTTTTGCTCTATGTATTACAGGATTAGCAAGTACTTCCTTTTACAATTATTTAAGATGTTCATTTTATTTTTAAATAATACGTTTTATGTTCTTTAACGGTGTATTAATCAAGCCTAAAAAACTATCAACTTGATAGAAAAAATTCAATATAAGTCTAAAGAACGTGTTGCTGTAAATTGATATTGCCTTGGCCTTGTTAGTCTCTTTTCTTTTTATGAGAAGAATCCTCAAACAGAACATTAATGTACACAGACTAATATATATATATTTGAAAATAACATACTAAAATAGGTCACACTATGCAGACAGTATAGAGAAGCATACTACACTTTTTTTCTTAGAACAAAGTTATAGAAGAGGGTGATCCGGAGACCGTGAACTCGAACTTCAGACTTTCACGCTAAAAGTATGATTACTTGCAAGTAAGAATAGTGCCCATCTCTGAGGAAGCGTAGTGTAACACATTGCTAATCATGTTTTAATGCAGCTTAATTATACATTTTAAAAAGAAAAAAAGGAAAACCTAGGTTAATTCCACGTACTAGTTCTTGATAGGCCCGTGAGAGGCTAAAAAGTTCTAATTTTCCTCTAAATTACCTGGCAATTGCAAGAATCATCTGGTCTGGCTGTTTCAATACATAAACCTTGGATTTTTGTCTATGGACACATAACGACAATGTCCTGTACAAGTACCCTTAGACTTAGGGCACAGGCCAAAGGTGCAAGAAATTGAAGGGAATGCATGAATATGATATTGCCCTACTATATATATTTACTACCTATAAGTGTAATCTAATATTGACTTCAAACCTTAATAGAACTATCCAATATCCCTCACTCTATGACAAAGAATATAGCCGCCCACACCCAATCACATTAGTGAAAATCTTTTTAAAAAATTCAATAAACACCAGATTATGAAATTAATATTAACATATAAATATTATAATTAAAGAAACGAGAACTATTCCTATTGTATACCATGAAATATATTCAAATAAATAACTAATTAGGTATCATCTTAACTCGAGTTAAATGTATTTTAATTACATTAAGTAATTAATCATATATTATCTTAACTGGCATTAAATTTTTTTTTGCTGCGAATCTAAATATGAGAATTGATATTATAAATAATAAGTTAATACTATTTTTGAAACCATATATTAAATGAGATCAATAAGACAAATCAACATATCATAATTGATATCATTCTGATATCAAGAATGATCATATAGTACCTTACCATATTAGAATAATAAACTCATTTTAAAGACAGATAGAGAGAAACTAATTAAACAAAAAAAAAAAAAAAAGCAAAACTCATTTTTAAAGACAGATAGAGAGAAACTAATTAAAACTAATTAAACAAAAAAAAAAAAAAAGCACCAATTGCAAAATAAAATCAAATAATTCCTTAATTTTAATAATAATGGTTTCAAATATTAATATGACAAGACGCCAAACCACGAGAAGCACAGGCAAAGGGGGAGGAAACGCTGGCGGGAGAGAAAACAACGGACGGTTTCTCCCCACCACCCCGACACAAAGCGGTTTTGAATAGCGGTTTTATTTTCTTTTCCCTCCATAATCTCTCCATCTCAATCTCAATATACATTCAATACAACTTGACAGCCCACAATATCTAATTTAGGGTTTTTTAGGCTCTACCTAAAAACCACCCTTTCTTTGTATTTGTCTGTTAGCATTTTGTTTGGTAGTAGAAATGAACTGTAGGGGTCCATTATAATTTTATAGGGTACATTGCTACAGTAAATATATGCTGGTGACTAAAGGG